GGTTCTAGAGATTGGTCACCCTCCCCCCTCAGTTTTAATTTAAAGCCCTCCTGATGAGTTGGGCCAGTCTTTTTCCGAGTACATTTTGCCCATTCTCGTGAGGTGTAGCCCATCCCTTGCCAAGAGTCCTTCATGTAGGAAATGCAGTCCATATCCAGGAAACTAAAGTTTTCTTGGCGACACCAACCCTTTAGCCAATGGTTTATTTCTAAGATTCTTTTTCCCCTCAATGGGTGTTGGGAGCATTGATAAGAATACTACTTGTGCTCCTAGCTTTTTGACTTTATTGTCTAATTGTTTGTAATCCCTCACTATTGTACTCAGGTTGTTTATTGTGTCGTTCATCCTGATGTGGAGGAGGAGGAAGAGATAGTAATCTGTGGACCTAATTATTTTGGTAAGGTTCTCAGCCACGTCTTTGATTTTTGCTTCAGGGAGACAGCATACCTCCCTGGATAGTATGTTTGGTCTGCAGATGGATGGTTCTGTTACTTAAAGGATAGAGTCTCCTATTACCAACACTCTCCTTTCTTTTTTGGGGGTGCTGCAGTCTGGGGTGCCTTTCTGTTTATCTCAGGTGTGTTTGTTGATATGGCTTTTTAAGGGATATTTGAAGTGACTTTTGGGGGGATTTTAAAGTTGTTTTTTTTTGCTAAGTGTCTGCATGTCTTCTTTGAGGGGAGGGTTGTGGGTCTGCATGTTTCTGTCTAAGGGAGAAATCGATTGGTCAGTTTTAGAGGGGCTGCTTCTGGTTGGGCAGGATTGGGCAGAAGGGGGTTGTTTGTTGTATGATGTTTCTTTCTTTGAGTATTGTGTTTCCTTCTCTGTATGACACACCTCCATTTGTCTTCCTCCAAGGGTTTATTGGTAGGGTCAGGTCCTCTGGGAGTTATTTGTTCGTTGTTGGGTTTGGTTTGGGTGGAGCTTTCTTTCATATGTTGGAATTTGGCTGGAGTTGCCTCAAAGTTCCTAACCTTTTCCTGTAGTAGTTCACATAATTTGCATCTGATGCATGTGTAGTTTGGGTGTTCTTTGGGCATCAGTGCATACATGGAACATGTATTGGATATCACAATGGTATCAGTCACCTGTTCCATGGGTTTGGTGTTTTCCCCCACAGGGGAAAAAAAATGCTGTCACCTGCTGGCCTCCCAGTCCTCTGCTGTTGCTGTCTGAGGCCTCCCGGTTCGCTGCTGCTGCCTTGTCTCCAGCTGCAGGCTCCCGGTCCTCTGAAAGAACAAAAACACTGTCGTCTACAGGCCTCAGGTTTGCCACTGCTGCCTTGCTGCCACCTGTAGGCCTCCGCTGCTGCCTCACCGCTGCCTGCAGGCCTCTGGTTTGCCACTGCCGCCACCCACCATCTACAGGCCTCCTGGTCCCCCGCTGCTTCGTAACCTACAGGGCTCCAGTTTGCCACTGCCACTACCCGCCACCTCGGCTCTGCCCCCAGCCGCCTCACTGGTCTGCTGCTTTGCATTGCTTCGCGCTGTCGCTTCCCCTGACTGCCTCACCAGTCTGCTGCCTTGTGCTGCTGTTGGCCGCTTCCTCTCCTCGTTAAATCACGTGGACTGTGCAACAAGCCCAATGGCAGGCCCTCCAACTGGTGCAGTCATATCAGTCTGATGAATCAACTAATTAGTTGTTGCCTGCTAAACTGTGACTGTGTAGGACAGACAGGAAGGAAGCTAACCACCAGGTTGCAAGAACACAAGTCAATCTGGAACATCTTTATAGTCTCTGCTTGACTGTGGAGATTTTCAATCATCCAGGTAATGGTTTTCCCAAAGGTGTTTTCCCAAAGGCAATTTCCTAAATTGAATAAGCTTCTAAATGTTTTCAAAGAAAAAATCAAGAAAGTCCAGTTCTCTTTTGGAAAAGTGCCTTTGGGACATATTCCCAGCTTTTTCTGTCTGTAAAATGGAAACAGTATTTGTCATGAATGAATAAGTAAGAGACATTAAAGATGCTAAAAATTCAAATGAGTTGGCCAGGGCTATAAGATTTGATCATTATACGAAATCTGTGAGAAAGCACCGATGGTTTTTATAAAGAATGTATTTCCTCATTAATGTTGGTCTCTTAAAAGTAAGTATTAATGTGACACACTTGCATTACAAATTGGACCTTATTTCATTATAAAGGATGACCTGGAATATGATAACAGCAAGAATAACAGCAACGGAATAGATAGAGCAGACATGTCAAACACAAGGCCTGGGGGCTGGATGCGAACTGGTTTCATGTGGTCCGCAAAGCCATCCTGGAAACAGTGAGGGAACGGCCCCCACTGCCTTGGCCCTGGCCCAGGCCGGCCGGGAGCCAATGTAAAATTTTGTGGTGGCCATCTATGCTGAAACGCATTCAGTTTTAGCTCCACAAGGCTGTCTGGAACCAGCAGGGAACCAGCCCCCGCCGTGTCGGTCCCACCCCTGGGTGCATGCTGGGGAGGTGTCACCCTTTGTGAGGAATGAAGAAATGGACCATGCCTTGGCGCTTGCCCCGGTTCCACCCCCTTCTGCCAGAGATCCTCAGATCTGTCCCACTTCTGCCCAGGTCCCCACAGGCACCCTTGATGCGAACAATGTAGAGCTGGCCATGCCCACCCAGTAGGCCACACCCACTGCATCCACGCCCACCCAGTAGGCCACACCCACCCTGGCCACACACCCCTGCCCCCCGAAGGCAACCGCAATGCTGATGCGGCCCTCAATGAAATTGAGTTTGACACCCCTGAGATAGAGGAATCAGTTAATTGAATACATAAAATATTTGATTTACATATAATTTTTCCCACCTTCCTTTTTAGATAGTGTCTTCAATCTTTAATATGAATAATTACATTGAAATGATGACGGGATAGCAATATAAGATTTTCAAAATGCCCAGATGGAATGGATAGGCTTTGTTAGTCTTTGAAATACCCTCTGGGTTATTGACCCAGAGAGAAAAGATTTAAAAAAAACTATGTCAGTAAAATGGAGGCTTTGTACCACCCAGATAAAATATTTTTTTCTTTTTCTTTTTCTTTCTTTTTTGCTAGATGCCCTTGAAAACTGCTAGCACTGTTAGCCATTTTAGTTGGAGGACACCTCACTAAAGAGATCCAGAAATGAAACTGATGAAACTAGGATATGATTGGGTATTGTTGAGAGAAAAATCTTCATCAGGGCCCAGTCCAAGCCGGGAATAAACAACATGGAGACTGTGTTAGAAAGAAAGTTGTAGTTTATAGAAGAGGAGAACCAGAAAGATGCCTCTGGAAAAACTGACCACACGGAGCAGAGTGGTGGGTTTTTATACCTTCTGGGGCTCTTGAGGTTGTTTCCTGTTCTTATTTGAGGCTTTGTATTTCCTGTGTCATGTACTTTGACCTGAGTCTGAGTGTGCCCTTTTGGCATTGGTGGGTTTATCCTATTATGTCCTGTCTTAGAGTTTGGGTGGGGGTATGTAGATTTTAGGGGTCTTTGTCTTCCTAATTTCTTCAGTTTCTAGCTGGAAGGCTCCAACTTTTCTGAAAGGATTATTGAATTTGCATTTCTAAAAGCTGGCTTCTGCCTAGGGGCTGGGCTGATTTCTGGGGGCTAGTTTCTGTCTTTTTTAAAGATCTTCTCCATTATTCCTTTTGGAAAATATATTCTGCCTTTTTAATATTTCCCAAAATATTTCTTTCTCTGGATTCTTCCCACAGTATGTTATCATTTTCAATGATTTAATAATGAGTTGACAGATACCCCAGAGAACCAGAGTGTTGTAGTGCTTGAACCTTTTGACTGGCATCAGTTCTAATGCATCCATAGAAGTTTACCAAGTGATTTCGGACAACTCTCATTCTCACTCACAGGGTCAATGTTGTGGGACAAATGGGAGGAAAAAGCACAATCTATTTTATTAATTTAATTTGTTCCCCACCTTTATTATTCTTACAAATAAACTCAAGATGGTGAACACTTCTTCCTCCTTATATTTTTCCCACAACAACTCTGTGAGGTGGTTTGGGCTGAGAGTGACTGGTCCAGAGTCACCCAGCTTATATCTAAGATGGGACTGAAATTCATAGACTCCTACTTTCTAGCCTGGTGCCATAACCACTAGGCCAAATTGGCTCTATATACCATCCTGAGCAATTCTCCAAAAGGCAGGAAAAAACAATGAAGATTTGTTTCTTATGAGAGGTCCTGGAACAAAGGGAAATTATGTAGTCTAACTGTTGCTTTCTTGCTTTTTGTAATCTGCCTTTGCACGAGGGAAATCTCATGCAAGTGTAGGAAACGTGTACATGGATGGGATGTACTGAAGAAGGGAATAAGGGTGTGTACAGGAATGATTGATGTCTTTCTTATGATATAATGGCTCTGTTGTCTGATTTTCACTGGCTAACAAAGTTTATAAAGCAATGCTACCAACTTTCTAAGGCGTGGCACTTCTGGACGTAACTCTGCCAGCGTTCCAGATTGTTGGCCGCCCAGCTGCTTAATTTGATCAAATAAAGTGCTGCTCGATCAAGAAGTCTCTGCTTGGGTTATCTGATTAGACTGATATGATATCTCAAATTCAAGTAAGGGACTGAGACCTTACACTTATATAGAAGGTTTCCAGTTTTCCACATAACACTCTGCTTCCAAATATAATACTGTATTGACTGGAATCATGATAATCAAAATGCCACTTACTGGGAGGTCATTAATCTCAGCACCCTACCCAAAAGCTGGGAAAGTTTAATTTTGTGGAGAAAAATGGCAGAATAGCCCTTACAAACTTGTTGGAAGACAATGTTCACGAAGAGCGCTTCTGAGCCACCGCAGAGTGCTCTTAATTCTAGCTAGCAAAAACTACTTCCCCAGGTACCCCCTTGGGAGGTATACGCAGGCGCACCACCGCAGTGGAGCGCGCGTCTGACTGCTCCGGGCAGCAGGCGGCGGCTGGCGGAGAACACGTGGGTCGGCGGCCAGGCGGCCGGGCGTCGGAGAGAGTAGCGAGTCGTGCGGTGTTGCAGCTCCAGCATGGGTGGCAGCCGGCAGTTTTTAGTGATGCTCTTCGCGGCTTGCCTGCATCTCTACAACTGCAGCTGGTTTAAGCGTGAGTGTCCCGGGACCAAGCGCGTCTGCTTTTAGCTGCATTGCGGCGGCAACAAGGGTCGGGCTGGGAGGAAAGGAAGAAATATTGCGGTGGGGAAGGGTGAGCCTCAGGCATCTGTCCCTAGCACAGGGGTGACTGCGGCGCATTTGAAGCAGGTGGGGATTTTGCTTTTGCACCAACTGTGGGGATGCTCCTCAGAGACCTTGCTCCCCTAGGTTGCTGAAGGGACCCGAAATACGGTTCAGGCTCCCCTTGAAGAACGTATAGCTTCCTCCCTCTTCTGCCGAAGAAGTAGGCAAGGAGTCTGATCTCGGGGCGGGGAAATGGGTGGATGTGGGGAGTATTCCTGATTGCTGACCTGGTGGGGCTCAGGGTTGAGGCTGACATTCTGGTCAACCATTAGGAAAGGCCTGAGGCTTTTACACCTTGGCCTCTCCCGTGCGAATAGAAACCAATAAAAGGTGTGCCTCAACATTCCAGGGATGGTTTGCAGGGCACCAGGGTTTATATTGGTTTGCCCTCACCCTTCTCTTTTACATCAACTCCAGGCTCTTTGCAGCAAGTGACGACTGTCAAATGTGTGGGGCTATAATTTCCATCACCTGTGCTAGTTATGGAGAATGGTACTTGCAATGTTAGCTGTAGTCCCAAAATATCTTGGTTTGGGAAAGAGTGCTGTGAATTCTTTATCAATATTAGTTACAAAGGATCTTGTAAAACATTAGGCCTATTCTGGAGCTCTAGTTGGCAGCTTCCCTTTCCCATCCTCTTCCTATTTGCCCAAGCTCTGCAAAATGGTAAGCATTCCTGGACCATTTCTTTTCTTCCCTTCACTAAGCATCCTATGTAGATACTTCTGTTGACTTTGCATTACTTCACTTTCAAGGCATTTGTTGGAAGAAGGAGAGTTCTGTGCCAGTTTTTGCAGAGGAGGACTTGATTCTACGCAGTTCAAGCAAATTTCTAGAGTGTGGGTGAAGGATCAGATGGCCACCTATTTGTGTCCTTCATTTACTGTTTGAACCCCTCATATATGTCAATCTGCCATTATTCTCTTTCTCTCTCTGTGATAACACCTTGCTACCTCCTTTTCTGATGTCTCATAGATAGGCAGGAGGGAGGGATGAGAAAAGAATTCCTCATTTTGCTCTCCCGCAGATAAAGGCAAGAGCAGAGCCTGCAAGGGCGTGTCAGCCACTCTCTGCAGTAGGAGAGGACGAGGGAAAACAACCAGGAGAAGAGGGAGGGAGGGAGGGAGCGATGGACAGCACAGGTACTGGATAATTTCAGCCTGCTGTTATATTTGTGTTGTTTCACCATCACTGACAGACATAAACCTTTGCTTTCACACCAAATTACTTTGGTTTTCTTCCCACTGATTTCTAGAAAAAGTATTATATGGGGCATGCTTCATTCTTGAGGAAATCTATATTGCGTAATGCAATGTAATGACAGACTAAAAAGTAAGTCTCCTTCAAGTTGTGCTTGACACCTACTGATTTCATGGATACATTTATGTACTTTTCTTGGCAGCAGTATGGGAGTGGAGCCTATGGCCACTTTCTGGAATTTTTTTTTTTACTTCCCAATCTTGCCTGCAGCTTGGTTTTCTTGGTTAGATCCAAATACTCACCACCCTCAACCTAATTGGCTCCTGGCTTGGCCAGAAAGATGAATTATTCCCATTTTCCTCTGTAGGTCGCTGTGATTATGAATTGGTTGGGCCTCTCTATGTTTGGAATCTTGGTGCATCCTCTCAGTCTAGCATCTTCCGTGCTGCTACATTTGCTCGGATTTATGGTAAGTTAAACATAAATAGGCAGAAATCCTGCCTCTCCCACCCCCCTAATTCTCTCTAGTTTAACATTGCTATAATATACAGCTAAATTAATTCTGTATTACAAATTTCAAAAAGTTCAAAGGAGATTCCCAAGCAAAACATGATGATATAATTTATCCTTCTATTTTCATGTATGTGCAAAAGTCAAAGATCCACATAGTGAAGCACCATAATAAGACAAAAATCTAATCTTTTAGGATTGAGGGCTTTCAATATCAATTTCCTAGCAGTTGTTTTCTAGCTACTTTTGCTTTGCTTCTTCTGATAGCAGGAATAACTAAACAAATCAGGAAGCCTCCATCTCTGAATTATTATATTTTAGCATTATTTCTAGATTGAGCTGTATGGCTGTTCTTTTTTTTTTGTGCCTTCAGATCAGTGTGGACTTCTGGCAGCTGCCCATATAAATCCTTCCAGTTTTTTTGGCAAGATTTCAGAAGTGGTTTGCTATTGCATCCTTCCTAGAATTGAGAGAGAGTGACTGACCCAAGGTCACCCAGCTTGCTTTGTGTCTAAGGCAGGGCTAGAATTCATGATCTAGACAGATGCCTTAACTACTACACTAAACTGGTTCCACTGTTTTCCTAGCAAGCCTGAATTGGGAACCAAGGACAACCCCTTTGCAAATCTGCCTTGTGAGGAGACATGAATCAGGCATCATGGTCTAGAATTAATGAAAAACAAACCATGGATAAAAGTTCTCTGGTTTGGTTAGTTGCTTTGCTTACAGCAGGAGTAGTCAAGCAGAAGATACCAGCATACTTGATCAATCATTGTGATTGCTTGTTATTGACCCAGAACTCCAGACAACAACTGATTCACTTTGTGGCCATGACTCTCTATACCTTTTCCAGAACCTGATGGGGTTAAGACAATGGTGCCTTTGACATCATTCATTGTGGATATTGATGACTTTGGCACTTTACTATACACCATACTTCCATGGCACCTGGTAGAAATCCAGGAAGGTCCTTCCAAACTTTCCCCCATCCTCTGTTTGCTTGCTGGACTAGGTGGACACAATTATCTGAAATTTTTTTAGAGGAAAAGAAAGAATTAAATATAATATATTTTTTCATTGGTCTCTCATACATTATTTGTGCTGCTAATCAGGGAAGTAGGATTTGGTGTTTTCTCTGAGCTCTTTTAGATAAGGGGATATTGTGTTGATGAGTAATTCTTTAGAATGCACAGACTAATGGCAAAGAGTTTAGAATGGCAGCATATATGTACTATATCAGGAATATAGCCTTTTCTACTTCTATCCCAAGCTGTTTCCTCTATATCTCTCTATTCATATTATGTTGTACAGGTGCGGGTGGTTGGTCACCAGATCCTCAAGACAAGCATCCGTGGCTCCAGATTGATCTGACAAGGAAAGCACATATAAAAACCATTGCTACTCAGGGGACCTTCAATACCTACAATTGGGTGACACGCTACATTGTCCTCTATGGTGATCATCCCAGCAATTGGAAACCTTATTTCCAACAGGGGAGCAATTGGGTAAGAGAGAATTTGTGACTTCTGCCCTCAGATGGAGAAAGGAGTGCTAGCATGCAGTATAACTGGCCAATTCCATATATTCCTGCATATATTTATATATACATTTATTCATCATCTGTTTCAAGCAGGGATGTAATCCTGATTTGAACTGGATGCCATCAGAAATATTCTGTGGTCCTCCAGGGTAAAATGATATTCCATCATGACTGACTGAAAATCTGGATTTGACTAAAGTTTCAGGAGCAGTAATTCTGATGAGCTTTGGTAGAGTGTTATGTTTTTTATACCCTTCTAATTTCTTACCTTCCCATACATTTGTTTTAGTCATTTTCTTAAAAATCTTTTACTTATTGTACCTTTCATTTATTGTGGCTGCTATCTCTTGTTTGCGAGTGTCACTTCCCTGTCTTGTTTTGGTCCTGCCATGTTTTTTTTAACCATGTTAAAACATTTTTTCTATTCTGCTTTGTTCTGCTTTTTAAAATGTTAGCAATTTTATTATAATCAGATCTACTAAGCTGACTCAGTGGGGTCTTTTTGTCGCACATGGGTCAAATATTTGGTTTCTAATAAGGTGTGAATTTAATTTGACACATGCTAACATTATATTATGATAGAATGTATATAATCGATCTTGTTAATATCATAAAATGTGTTGTTTTTTCACTACCTGAAGATATAAAAACTAATAACCTGTATGTATCTGAGATTACAATTCCCATTATTTCTTTTACGTAGCCACTCATAGTGACTGTGCAAAACTTAATCTTGCAGGAAGTGGCATGCAAATTGTACAAGCATTTAAAATTAATTCAAGAAAAAAGTCACTTAATTTTCCTGTTAATCTAAACTATATTTTATAGTTAATCCAGTGCTTTTCTAGTAAGTCATGCTACAGTGTAATACTGTGGTTAGGTTATGAACCTAAAATAAGAGAGATCCAGGGTCAAGTTGAGATTCCATCACAGCAGTCTATATTTCTTAGCCAATTTTTTCACAGGATTGTTACGAAAATAAATTGGAAGAGGAAGCATTAGCCCTGCCACTTGTTGATATAAATCATCAAGTGATATACAATTTGAGACAGTTAAGCTTAACATTTTTATTTTGTTTCAGACTCTCCTTCCAGGTTCTATTCAATAAAGTGGCTGTACCAGACTGATCGTAACCTGCCTTTCTGTTTCCAGAATGAGATTCTAGAATCTAGCTTAATGCCACATAGAACAAGAGTAGACAATTTTTTGTGTTTGAGACTGCATGTTTTGTTTTAATAATAGTTTGTGTTAAAATTTAAAATTACAAAGATAAAAAACTAATGCAAACTAAGGAAAATATAAGCAATAAAAAAACAAAGTGCAAAAAAGAGAAAAAAGAAGGGGAGGCATTTCCTCATCACATATCTTTTATCTACTACCAAATAATAAAACTTCATCTTTCATTTTTAATTAATAAAATCCATTAAGAACTACTAGAAATAACTATAACGATAACGATATACTGGTAGTCCTTGACTTATGACAGTGATTGAGCCACAAATTATAGTTATGTTGGTGATCAAGCGGCTGTGACTGATTTTATGAATTTTGTGACAGTTAAGTGAACAATACAGTCATTAAGTGAGCCCATTGTCTGTTTCTTGCTGCAAATTGGAGGTAATGCCAGTTTTCCAGCAAAAAAAAAGACATAAATTGCAGTCACATGACATGGGATGCTGCCAATAGCTGCAAATGCAGGCCAGTTGCTAAGTGCTAAAATGCAATCATGTGACTGGGGGTGCGTGCTGGAACTTCGAATCTGAGTCACAAGTACCATTTTTTAGTTTTGTTTTAACTGCAATGGTTGTTAAGTGATCGTTTTGTAAATCAAAGACTACCTATACATACTTTAAACCAGTAAATCAATTTCATAATTCTTTACACAATATCTTGTCATTTTTTCTAAAACTGGAAAGGAAAAAACCCATAACTATAAACAATTTTTTAAAACCTCATTATTGAAACTTAATTAAGAAAAAATGATTGAGAACTACTAGAAACAACAAATTGAAAATATTAATCTTTAATGATGTCCCACAAATTAACATCTTATCATCTTTCTTAATCTTTTCTCAATTATGATATACTTATCACTTTCACCCAATACACAAAGCTTTGTTTTCCCACTATTTTATCTATAAACAAATCATTCAGTCCTGCAGTCAGACTGCAAGTTTCAAAATTATTTTTTTCATCCTCTGAAGGGTGCAAAGACATGGGAATGAGGTAATGTCACTGTAAGGTTGGGTTCTCCTCCATTTTACATATTTATTTCCTTCCTCGGTATATTAGGAACATTAGAGGATTTATAGTCCTATTTTTAATGGGTAAAAATTGGTAAAACCTGACTCTTTGATTTAAAAGTCAGCCTATTAGTCTGAAAAAAATGGAGCTTATAATTCATACAGTTATTTTATATGACATGTTACCACTATTTTGAAGCCACTGGCAATAGGCAGTACTAAAATTGAATACACATTTCTAACGTCATCTATTCTACAGAGATTTTTATCATGTAATATTAACATTGGGACTTTCATTGCTTATGTTTACAATCCTTTGTCACTTGCTACTCTCTCTTCCTTTTTTCTCATGATCCATTCTTAGCTTTGCATTACCCAACAGAATATTAATCTGATTTAGGAGATCAAATGCTGTTTTCTTTGGATGACGCTAAGTTGATCTGTTGACAAGTGTATCTCACTTCATTCTGGAAGTTTCTATAAATGTGAAGGCTGTTACTTCTCTGAATTTTTTTGCTAATTTTCCTTTTAGTAACTGAGTATGATAAATCCTTCTGATCGTATAATTTAATTTTGCTAAATTAAACAATCCATGATTGTTACTGAAGTGGAATCATCAGACCTGCCCCACTCTATACAAAGAAAGACCCTCGACTCCATTAGGTTGAAGCAAAAGGTTCTTTTACTAAAGGTGTTGGTTGCAGTGAAGTCAGTCTAACTCTAAGGTTTTCCCACATGAAAAAGATACAAAAAAATTTCCCTTCTCCCCTCTCTCCCTATGACCAGTCTGTGTTTTGCCAGTCGGAGCTCACCAAGATGTTATGAGAGCACAGAGATGTTGTGGGTAATTCCTTTCTCAGGGTGCATGGCCTTGGTGGCTCTGGTACAAACCGGTTCTGAGCTTCATCACTTGTCATCCCCCCTCCCTATTTCCCATCATATACACAATCATATTGTCCATTTGTCCCCTTCCCCCTCTCCCTCCAGTCTTTGATGGCAGGAACTGGCAGAACCTGACATAGAGTTTCTTAAAATCAGTCTAGTGGTAAGTTTCTTTCAAAAGTTATAACTCAGATGTATAAATGTCAAACATTAATTGTAACAGGCTGCACTTATGGCATGGATAGGCTTTGCTTTATAACTGAATAGAATGGATCTTCCTGTGAGAGAAGAAACTTTAAAGGTTGTGGATAATGGAAGTTGATTGTAATGTGAGTAAAATGATGCTTCATTGCAAACTGCAAATGCTTTTAATGTGCGGTATTGCCTGTTAATAGAGATTATCAAAACCTCCCTATTTAGCTACTGTGTTTTAAAAACATAACTATAATTTATTTTATTTTATTTAAAACTTTTATATAGCCAGTATATTATGTCTCCTATGATCGGGGCCTTGACAAGGCAAAGAGGCTTGTGTGGGTGGTCACATAGCAAGAAGAATTGATGGCAGGCAGACCAAGGCAATCATAGAATGGATCCCACTTGAAAAAAACATCCACGAAAGAGCCCTAAAACAAGATGGATCAATGATATCAGCAAGTATTGTGGGCCCAATTGGCAAAAGGAAGCTCAGGACCGCATTGGTTGGAAACATGCGTGAGAGGCCTTCATCCTGCAGTGGATAGACAATGGCTAAAATTGATGATGATGATGATATTATATAGCTTGTAAGATTATCCATGCTTGTAATATTGAGATACCTGGAAAAATAATCTATAATAACTATGACTTCCAAGTTCATAAATAATACTTTTATTTGTTATCTAAGATACATGTTTGATTATCAGTGGGTTTTTTTAACTGACAATTATTTTTTTTAGCAAAAATCTTAGCCAATTACAAATATTTTAAAACATGGATTTTACTATCAAAACTCTAGTGTTGTATGTTCTCTGTTTTTTTTTTTATAAAAACTTTTTTTATTTATTTTATTTGTTTATTTATTTGTTTGAATTTTTATCCCGCCCTTCTCCTTACGGACTCAGGGCGGCTGACAGCCTGGTAAAACAGATACAAAGATAAAAATACCCACTTTAAAACCTAATTAAAATGAAATATTTGATGTGTCCTGTGTCAATTTAAAATTAT